TTCTGCGTTCGTTGTAATTCAATTGCGGGTCCGCCCACAATAAAGTCGGTTAATGTTGACCCCATTACAACCCAGCAACTGTGTTCTTCGCCCTCTCCCCATCGGCAGTACCTCCGTGATGATAGTCCGATGGCTTTTGTTGGCCCATAAAACATGTTTGCCGGCTATAAGATGCGTTCAGTGGCTAGGATGCTGTAGTCCGTAGTGCTACCTGAACTCTCCTTGACTCCCCAACCGGGCCCGAATGCTTTTGGACTGCTCTTGTATTTATGCCTATGAATATTTCATTTAATTGAAGCGCATTCATTACCAACCACACAGAGCAAACAACAACCGCCCGTTCCCCCTCCACACTTTTGGCGTTGTAATTAAAATAAATTTATTACGTAAAATGTTTTGCCAAAAAATTTGTCGAAAGTTGTGGCTTTCGCCCCGTGGCGTAATAAATAATGTGGAAGGTGTTTGTGTGTGTGTGTGTGGGAGTATCTGTGTGAATGTATGTTTAATGATCTCGCTGTACTCGCTGCTTTTTGCCATCGTCGCCATACGGAAATTGATGCGGTTAATATGCTTCCACTTGTTAATTTTTGCATTTCGTTTTGTATTTCCAAAAGCCACAAAATCATACAAATAAAGATACGCACAGGGAATGCAAATAGAAACCGAAAACAAAAAGCTAAATCTAATCAACAGGAATAACAAACCGACCAAGCGAGCAACCAACAAATTTAATGGATAACCGAAAATTTATGATTACCTCCCATTTGATTTGTCTAACCGAATTTTTCAATATTCATGTAATTAATTTGCTAGAAAATGTGCTCGTGCTGAATTGATTTTCGAAAGGGAAAATAGTCTTTATTGATCTTTATGTGCTTGGATAAATTGCCACGTAGTGTGAAAGGTGCAAATGTGTTTTAGGGTAATGAATTCAGTTCTAGATAAATTAAATTGTTATTTTTTCAATTTTTATGTTCCTTGAAGTTGAGTTACTAATACGGTTAATTGAGGCAGTGCATTTGTTGCTAAATGTAGTGCTCTTCCATTTCACAATCCAATCAAATCAACATCAGCTCTGTGGAAATTCAATCACTCAAACGCCAACTGAAATTCAAGGAATTTCGAACCGGACATCAACACCCTTACTAAGAGAAAATGATATCAGGAACAGCACTAATTGAAATTCACGCTAAAAGCCAACCCGAAAACAACCTGAATTGAATCAAACGCTGCAACTCGATATGGCGAATAGAGTAAAGCACTTGAAATAAAAATGTTTGGCATTGCGTAACGCTGTGCGTCATTTGTATTGTTTGGACCGTACTCTCACGGTTTCCGGACTCTGAACTACACAGAAAGAACTGAATGTTATTAACTAAATATAAACAATATGAGGTGTATATAATGAAGAGGCTGAAAGTATGCACCTAAATTGAAAAGCGTGGTTGTGAAGATGCTAAGAGGACATTGTTATTTAACATTGCTTGTAACATCACCGCCCCCATTGCATTCGCAATCTTTTTTTTTGCCTGTATATGGGGTCCTAGTAGATCCCGCAAATCGCCAATTGAATTGTGCAAATCGAGAAAGCTAGCCAGCTCGAAAGCATTGCATACTTTGCAGCGCAATTTCGGGCATAGAAACAACAGCGAAATACTTGGCTTTTTCGCTGTTTTGTTTGATTCTTTTGTTGTTTCCAGATGCACGCTCATCAAAGTCAGAACCGAGAAGGCATTATAAAGTGGTCGGAAGGACGGAGAGCGGGTTAACAAAAGTCTGCCGGAACCAGAGCTTTTATTGCTTTAAACTGGCACTCGAGCTCCACTTGCAATTCAACTTGAGTCCTGGCCAACAAAAAAGGTGCAGGGACAAAAGAAAAGTGAAGCAACTGTCGGAATACCGAGCTCGTCTTCATCTGAAATCCTTTGCTGACACTGCGACAACCCTTTTTAGCCCAACTGCACCGATTTTGGTTGAGTCTGGGTGCCCTTTTAAGGGTAAGGGTATTTACTTGTGATTTCACATTTGTTAGTCAAAGACGTGGGGTTTTTGACCCTTCTTAACAGACATCTTCTAGGGTTTAAATGTCTTAATTATAAAAGGAGGAAAGCGTTCTATGTTGTCCGTCAATCAGAAAAATCTTTAAAAAGTTTAAGGTTTTGATAGGGTGTCAACTGGTGACATGTTTGGTGTTTATTTAACCAGAAAATTTTTAAGAGTACATCTTTCACAATGACATAATGACAAAAATAAGAAACATTCAACATTGTGCACAACCAAAATTCTTTAAAGTACAGACTCAAAAGTTTCTTCATCAATGATCATTAAGTGTATTTGTGGCTTCGTTTGGACCGCAGCTGTTCATTCCTGCCACTTTTTCTTTTCGCCCATCTTGAGTTGGCATATTTTCGTTTTTTCGGCCCTGCTTCTGTTGCTTTGTGGCCAAAAATGCGGCAAAAAGGGATCTGGCCGAGAGTGGGGGGAAGTCGAGTCTTCGGCCATGGCTTTTGTTTTAATTGAAATGTTTTTGCTTCTCCGCTAGCTGCTGTGCGGCAGTAAACTGCAGCTGCTTCTCTCTTCTAAGCCGATTAGAAGCAGTTCATAATGTATGCGGCTAAATATGAATGCTGCCCAGGAAGCTCTCCCCTCACGTTTTTCTCTATCGGAGGTTGGAAAACAATTGTTTTGGTCCATCCTGTGGAGTGGACCGCAATCGCAGTCCCTCTCTTTCTCTCTCTCTCTCTCTCAGCCTTTGTCTGTCTGTCTAATTGAAGCAGCATTTACTGGAACCCACGGCGTATGCGGAATATGCGCTGGCATACGGGGCGTATGCGGAACGGATATCTTATGCATAACAACACAAAAGTCACGCATACGCCACGTGCACTTTGGTGTTTGTGTGCAGGGGAGGACGTACCCAAAAACCGCAGCCATTGCTGAGCGTAAATGCATAGACCATCTAGAGCACTCGCAATTGCAATTGCAATCGCAATCCTTTTTATGCATTCCATGTGGCATTGCGGCCGACAATGGGGAAAATCAATCAGTTTCTGGTTCGTCGGCGTCGTGCAGGGAAATATTCTAGCAGAGGTCGATTTTTGATTAGGGCGCTAGGAAATATTCTAATAATATCTTAAATGAAATTGCTAACTAAAATCTGTTGTTTCTTTGCGTCTTTTTAATATGCTGGTAGACTTCTGCTTTCGATGCAATCAAACCACTGTTTTAATACGTTTTACTATCACCAGTTTTCTGTTTTTCTCCCAGTGCAGGCCAGCTTTTGTTTTTTATTTATTTCACTTCTCCTACAACTAGCAGCGTTGTTTGATTTTGATTTTGTGAAATATTTTCAGCTCAGCATTTTACATTTTAAATAGCACTCACTCTTTCTACCCCGTGAGTCCTTCTCCTTTTCCTTCGCCTTCATCGAAGTTTGTTTTGGTATATTTTCAGTAATTTTAGCCCCAACTCCCACATTATTTTTCCCAAAAAAGCAGCGACGATAGTTGTCGCTGCAAGCGATTTGTTTTTCTTGATAGAAGGCGGTACACTTTCCATGGGTTTTTCGCAAGGAGGTGCAGACTATGTATTTTATGTGCATTTATCTGTGTGAGCTGCTGTATCCGTCTTCTCTGGCTGCTGCTGCATAAAAGGATGTACAAATGCAAATGCTGTGCAGAAATTTAGATGGGATTCGGTGAAAGGATGCTGCACTCTGTTTGAAGAGGGGTAAATGTTCGTGTGTGTGCTGTCCCTGCCTTGCATTGTGAAAACTCTATTTTGTTTATCCGAACAGCTTCAGCTCGGAGCATTGGCAAAACTCTTGGCCAAACATTTCCCAACACTTAAGTGCATAATCAATCAAACTGATTTCTTAGTCGCCTCAACCGATTTCGGATTTTCGGGCATTGGATTTGTGTCCGGATTGGATTTGTGGATGGATTATTTTCCCAATGAGATTTTATTGTTGCTCGTCGAGCAGCTTGTGCGGCAATAATCTAGTTTTGGATACCAGATTTTGGGAATCCCACCTCTAATATATCTCCTATTCTCTGCCTTCATTTCTTTGCTCAAAATAAATGCCATTCACCCATTATAAAAAGCAACACGTGTTATATGCATTGAAAGTGCTACTGTAGGTTTAATTGTAATAAACTCACCCATTTGCTGAGGAGGCTTCGCCTGCTGCTGCATATCCTTTCGCTGCGGGGGAAGAGGCGGTTGTTTTCCGGATTTCCTCAAAGTTCCATACCGCTGGGCGGCCTGCAACATTTCGTGGGGCGCCAGTTGCTGCGTGGGACTGAAACTCTGCTGGCTGAGGGAACTGGTGACCGTGGGAATGTGCGGCGAGTAGCCACTGTAGTCGACCAGGCCACTGAATGCCGATGGTGGTCGCTCCACGTAAATCTGCTGCGACTGGGCGGTGGCCATTTGGAGGCGCCACAATGCCTCCTGCGACAGATCCCTGGCGTTACTGTAGTTGTTCTCGTTCGAATTGCTGCTTGACCCTGCAAATTACCACATTTCCTTGGATTATTACGTGCCATTTTAGTGGGCAGCTACAGCTAGTATATATTGTTGTGCAGATGTACCAAAAATGTGTCGAAAGTGGGTGCAAAGTGCTTTAGGTGCTTTGCTGTTAGTGGGGAAAACTTGAGAGTCACAGTGGCTAATTGGAAAAACACGCACTAACATCAACACATCTATATGTAGCAAAAATGCCCGATCATTCTCATCAGACAGCTGTCCAAAAGATTATTATTACACGGTTTGAATAGCAAATTGTAATGTTTAATTAGTTTCAGCCAGGCTTAATCAAACATGAGCTTATATAATGCTAAATAAAAAGGTTTCTACTTCCTCTGACTATTCAGAACACATATGTTCTGAATTATAAAAACAGTCAGTTAATGTGCAAATACAATATGCTATTATTTTTGGGGTGCGTCAATTAAAGATCTTAGTAAAAACTGTTTTAAAAACCATTTTACATACGTGAGAATTGTATTTATATGCAAAAAAAGAAGAAAAACAAGTGAACGCAAACTTTTACGACGAAATTTCAGGGGAATAAAACATTGCAAAATGCTATAAGCTGATATTTTCATTGCCAAGGATTCGACGATTTCATTTTCCGGAGACACGATATGGTGGCGGCCACCAATTGACGGGAGCCGGTGACCAGGACATCCAGTTCATTCTTCATTCCGTACTTCTGTTTGCCGTACTTGTTGGTCAGGTACTCGAAGAAGGCATTGATGGATATGGAAAGCTGCGAATTGTCCCTTTTGCCGTTCTCCTCGCAGAGAGCTCTCCAATTTCCGGCATTCCTCTTGGCCCTTTGCAACTCCTCCATGCCGTGCCAGACCATGGCTTTTCCATCATCCTCCGCCAGGATTTCGCCCTCGAAGTAGTTTGGATTGGGCACAAAACAGGCCTCCTCGAAGCGCAAATTACTGCGTATGATGGTCAGAAGATCCTTGGCATTGAACTCGTTGACCTTGTTAAAGAGCAGAATTTTCGGCTGGCGATTCGCGCGTGTCCTGGTGTAAAACCAATCCCGGCAGGCCATCATCGATTCAAATGTATCGGCGCTATCCAGATAGACATTGAACATGTCGTGTCGCATGAAGTCAAATTGCCCGGGCTGTTCAAATATCTCGATTCCGCGACTAGCTCCCGGAGTTAACAAAGTGGAATTATTTTCCAAGCCCACCACGTATTCGGGTTTGTGTCGTTTCAGAAAATCGTAGGCCAGCTGTACGGCCAGAGAACCATTCAATCTCATAGAGTAGTTCGCCTTGTTCATCAGCAGCTTGTTGTTCATATTACCCTCGATATAGTCGTTAAAGGTGGGCACTCGATGGAGTTGGACGCCAATTTGCTTGGCCTTTTGGGCCAAGACCTCGCAGCATTCCGGTTGGCTGACATTCGTGTAGATATTGGCTTCTGGCTTCATGATAGACGCCTTCGCCCAGGCTATATCCCTTAGGGAATTGCCCAAATTCGAGCTCTGCTCCCATCCCAAGGTCGTTATCCCAATGGTCTGGGCATGGGAGGCTATGTTGGTGGCATCACTGGCGCCTCCGTTTCCCACCTCCAAAATGGCCACCTCAACGCCGGCTTGATGGAAAGCGTGACAGGCCATGACCGTCATGATTTTGTTGTAGGAAGGCGGGGGTTGCATATTCGCTAGATCCGTGTTGATTTTCCAAAAGAGCTCCGTGAACTGAACATCGCTCAACGGTTCACCATCGATCCTTATTCTTTCGCTGGTTAAAAACAGGTGCGGCGAGGAGAGAACCCCTGTTTTTATCCCATGACACCGCAGAATACTCTCCACTATGGCGCAAGTTGAGCCGCGGCCTTTGGAGCCGGCTACCTGTATCACGGGTATGGCCATGAGCTCCTTCTTCGTAAGACCCGACTTTTCCAGGCACTCCAAGGTTTGCTCTATTACCGGATCCTGCTCCTTTCTGCTGCTCTTGGTGGTGGCTCTTCCGGTAGTCGGCTCCAAAACCTGATAGCTATTCAGTTGCCTGATGGCATCTAGGTATGCCAAGTGTTCCGGACTCTTTTCCTCGGGTCTTTCGGCCGGTTCTGGAGTAGTTGGAGCCGCTCCTTGTGGCGGTGAAGATGGAGTCGGGCTCTTTTGGGACTCCATTTGCTGCATCTTCTGAGCCTGAATATCCTTTCCAGCCTGCTGCTTGGCCTGCATCTCTTTCACCCACTGATTCTGTTTCCTCTGCTGCGATCCCTGCATGCGGTTCATCCAGTTCTTGCGTTGCGACTCCGAAGAGGCACCCTTGAATGCCCCGGAATCTTCATGCTCCGCAGTTTTCTCCACCTTTTGCTGCCACGAGACTTGAGCCTTGGGTGCGGCACCAAAGTTGGCAGACGAACTTTGACCGCCCATCGCGAAACTGGGATTATTTCCTTGGTTAAACTGGTGCTTTGGAGGACCAGCAGGCGGAGCACCCTTTCCAGCTGCCAATTTGGCTTTTCGCTGCGATTCCGGCGAGACCTTGGCCAACCACTTGGCCCGCTGATCTGGGATTTTTGGCTGAACTGAGGGTTTTGGACTAATGGGAGTGGGTGCTGTGGGGCTTATGGCGCCCAGTGTCAAAGGATTCTGTTTGATATCCGCTGGCTGAGGCGGCTGAGTTGGTTGTATTGCCGAAGATTGCGATTGCGATTGCGAGGGCTGGGTCTGGGATTTCGTTGGCTGATTGGCCAGCTCCTTAATGGCGGCAGCCTTGGGAACTTTTATCGATGGCGCCTTGAAGCTCATCTTGAAGAAGTTCTGGCTCGACTGGATCGTCCATTGGAGGGCCTTCAGATGAGAGTTATGCCTGCGGTACATCAACGGCAACACTGAATGCATTCCAAACACTCTCTAAAAATATCCGTTTTGGGTTATTTTTGTGAATAAGTATATAGGTTAAATAAAATGCCAACGGAATGTGTGAATTTTGATCATGGAAATTTGTCGGCGGAATTTCCGGTATTTGTATCTGTATCTGAAAATTTTTTTATTTTGTTGGGTGGTAAAATAATGTAGTGTCAATCGATTGGACACTTATGGGAAAGGTAGGCATATTTATTTAAGCATTTATTGTATTCTTTTGTTATTACTAGTTTTAATAATATTATGTACCGTTTCTTTATTTAGATTTCTTCAATTTTAATTTCCAAGTTAAAGTTTTACCAATGCCGCCTTTCTCCACAAACTTCCACTTTCAAAACTCTTAGTATAGTTTAGTGCATTTCTGGAAAAAGTTATACACCAAGAAAAGCGTTTCGGAATTCCCAAACATTTAAAGCCATTTCAAAGTGCAACAACAGTTATTAACAAAACATCAGCAATAATATTGTGTGAGGTGCTCTTCTATACTGATTTTTTTTTAAGTGCTTTTTGTGCAGACGATGGTTGCATTGTTCTTTATTTGCTCGTGCTGTGCGCTAGTTGCTCTTGTTGTTCTTTCTCAGCTTGTCGCCCATAGCTGGAGTTACCTGTAATGGCTAGTGTTGTTGTTGTTGTTGCTGCCTTGGCATTGCGCGATGTTGTTGTTATGGTGGTTGCCAGCGCCGTTGTTGTTGCCGCCGTGGCTGCGGTTACCAGGGATCTTTCCCGCTCTCTCTCCCTATTTCCCAAGTGGCCGCGTTTCAGGGTGGTGCAGTTGCTGGTGTTGTTGGTGTTGTTGGTGGTGTGGGTGGTGTGGCTGTTGTTCAAGTGGTTGTTGTTGTAGTTGTTGCTGGAGCTGGCAGTGGCGATGGTGGGTTGGTTCGTTAGATTGGCGCGTGCTGAATGTTGCTGCTGCATTGGGTTAATGCCGCTGCTGCTGCTGCTGCCGCCGCCGCCGCCGCTGATGTTGCATGTTGCTGGTGTCGCCTCAAGTGGTCCTGCTTCGGTTGCAGCCGCATACCAACGACGATGAGTGTGTGTGTGTGTGTGTGAGAGTGTGTGGCGGTTTGCAAGTGTGCGAAGGGGGCAGAGAAATAGTAATTAAGTTGACGCTTGCCAAAAGGGGAACGCAAAGAAGGAGCAACAAAAGCCCGCGACCGGTTGCAACCCGCACAATTAAAATGCATTCTTGAGGGCAACACTCAGCGAAAATAGCAGCTATACAGAAACTTAAATAAGTTAGTTTAAATATTCGTAATCCTATCATGAACCCATTTAATTCAAAAGTTTCAAATGGCAGTGTATGAACATTTATCTACTTTTATATACTACAAATTGTCACTTTATTTCAATAAAAGTCATAGTACAAGCTCTAATATCGTATGGCAAGAAATGTATATATAATTGAAGTTATCTTTGTTGTATTCCTTTTGTTTAGTTCAACTAATTTGGCCAGTGCCGCGCACCCACCTATTCGGTTGCAAACTTGTAGCTTCCCATTTAGGTGTGAATAGAGTTCTTTTCTTTATTGTTCAACGCCCCTTTCGCTGAAAAGCTCAGGTGGGCAGAGGTAAAAATAAAGCGCGGAAGTTCTTTCGGGGCTGGGTTAAGTTCTTCGGCCTAATAGGATTAAAGAGCAAGAGGTGACCTCTTTAATGGGATTATTCGAGTAGAGAATTTGAGACTGGAAGTTGTCTAATTGTATTACACTTGTTTATTGCATTTTTGGACTTTTGAAGTCGATTTTGTGTACCCAGCAGCCATCTTTTCGCCTTCGTTGCTGCTCTCTGAATTTTTGATCAGCTTATTTCGGCGTGGAAAAGGAACACCTAAATGTATAACAAATTATTTCAAATCATATGGAAGTTTCATTAAATTAAATATAATATTTAGCCAAGGCAAGCAATTAAGTTTAATTAAATTAAGTAGAATATTTAACGAAGGCAAGCAAATAAGTAACCAAGTCAATTAAGTGAACAAAGGACCAATGCTTAGACAATCCTATTTGATTTCTCAAATCCCTTAAGCCGCCTTGTAACCAATTAAAAACAAGGCAATAATACAGAACCTGAACCATACAGCGGACATTCGATTGGGGGAACAAAGGCAGCTGAAGGATAACGCCTTAATTCTCACATAATTGGAATTACGATGGCTGCACCAAATTTTCAGCCGCTCCCACTTCCGTTTCCGGCGGCGCTTTGCGTTGCCGATTGGTGTCATTTCGGTTGCCAAGGGGAGCTGCTTATGCCCGACACCAAACACCATGGAAAATCTGTGGGCAGGCTCGGGGGAAAAGCGTGGGAAATCCGTGGAAAGGGCCGACGGGGGCCACGTTGCATTTGCATGAGTAGCTCGGTAAGTGGAGGCGGAGGAGCAGCTCTAGATTGACATGAAATGCAATTACGGCCAAAAACTCTGCCCTGGGAACAGGGACACCCATCGAAATGGCCGCCATAAATCTGCGCCGAAAAATGTGTCGCTTAATCAAGACACACACGCCCACCAAAAAACCCCCCCCACCCGGTAATCCTCGAGTGTCCCCCCAAACACGAAATCCGCAACCCACTTTTCTAGCCACAGGGCCACGTCTCTTCATAAGTTGTCGCCGGGCTGAAGCGAAATTTGTCCAGCCCTGCACAGTCAGCGCAAAAAATGTGTGCCAAGTGTTGGAACTTATGGTTAAAAGTAAGCGACACTCGCTATTCAATTGAAGGAATTGGAATCAATGTGTAATAAACATGTAGTTAACTGCAATATGTGTTTAAAAATGCCCAGTATCCTACGTACCCTTATCCCATAACTTCTGTATAATTTTAAGCTAGTGCAAAACATTTTCTCCGCCTGTACTCACACTCTCCGGCTCCAAGTCCGTGTCCGTGTCCGCTGCCATGTCCGTGGGATCCGGCTGCTGAGTTGGCAACGGAGGGCAGCACTTGATAGCTGTCGCTGTCCACGCCGATGGCACTTGTCACATGATAGCCGTAGCCGTTCGAATGTGGATGCTGTCCGGCGGAATTGTTGCCCCCAGAGCCAGCCACTCCGCCATAGATGCCCAGTATGGCTTTGGGCTGTTGGTACTGGCCGTGGTTGCTGTGGTGCTGCTGCTGGTGCTGTTGCATATTCAGCTGCTCATCGGGATCGTGGAGGGCGGTGAGGGTGAGCTCCATGCCGCCGTTGCCACTGCCCATGTCCTTGGAGTCCAGTGTTCCAGTGGGATAGTAGGGTGGTGGTGGCGGTGGCTGCTGCTGCTGCGATTGCTGTGCCTCCTGACTTAGCGACGGTCTTCGGCTGGCGTCCAAGTCGAGGTCGTACTCCTTGGCTCCGTTAGATCCTGGATTAGTCGTGGAGTTAGCGTTGCCTCCTCCGCCTACTGAGCTGCTCTCTTTTTTGGAGGCGTGCTTCCTGCGGCAGTGGCAAAAAGCGTAGAGCAGCCCAAGGAAGACGACGAACGAAAGCGAGGCGATGATGATGGCCACCAAAGCAGATGTCGTCATGGAGGATTTGTGCGGCATGTAGGACTTGCCAACTAAGAGGCGAATTATAGTATTAGTTTCGGGATTATGGCCAGACTTAAAAGGTAATTTCAGATTCAAAAGTAAACTGACAAGGTAAGGTTTTATTACAACCACCAATACTTACTTTCTGCATTGGCATATGCGCCGCAGTGCTCGTGGTTGGACCTCAGGCAGAGCTTGACCCGCACCACTGGACCGGGACCCGCGGTCTCGGCCAAGGCCATGGTGCGATCCTCGCCCAGGTGGGAGCCACCACCCACACCGAGACTCCTGCCCGATGTGGTGGCGGTGGTGTAGTGGGCTGGACGCGACACGTGATTGATGATGGCCTCCTTGAAGGTCGTTTCGCTGCCCGAGGGGAGCAAAGTCAGGGTTTCCACGATCTCCCACATGGGCACCGTGGCGTCCCTGGTGACCAGTGATTCCACCACTGCAATGAGCGATAGGCAGGTGGCGGCCACGTTGATGCCCAGGACATGTGAATTGGGATCGTAGCTGACATGCAAAGGCGGTGGAATTTTGCTGACTTTGGTGGTGGCCAATATCTCATTCGAATAACCCGAGGTGCCCTTGGAATTCAGGGCGTACACCTTAAACATATAACTCTGATGCTGATCCAAGGGCGCGAGCTTACAGGGATTCTCCTTAAAGCAATTGAATTCGATCCATTCGTGGTTGGAGTTACTGGACGAACTGCTGATCTGATAGCTGGGTATATAGCCATTGCCCGAACAATCGGACAGCGTTTGTTCCCTGGGTGTTGCCACTCTCCTGTAGCTCACCAGATATTTGGTGTTCATAAAGCCGCCATTGAATCCCGGCGTCCAGTTCAGGACGGCATAGTTGTGACCCACTTCGAGGATCTTTAAGTTCGTGGGCTTCTCCGGCGATCCTTTGGGTTGCAGTCTGATTGGCGCTCTAATGGTGTCTAAGGGATTTACAGCTCTGCAAATATATTCCCCGTAATCAGAGTGCTGCAAGTGTGCTATTCTCAAAATGGAGGTGTATACATCGTTGTTTTCCATTCTCGTGCTAATTTCATAGTGACCATCGGAGGACATGGTCAATGGCGAGGGATTGTTGCCGTATTGCCATTGAAACTCCGGCTTCGGATAGGCCTGAACCCTGCAGACGACCTCAGCGGATTCTCGTAGATCGTAGGCCACTTTGTTGTACTGGTGAATGACTATGGGCTCATGCTCGATCCTCAGATGCATTGAAGAGTTGGCTGAGTTCACATCGTTTTCGTAAAGGCATGTATACAGACCTCTGTCGTTTGGAAGTAGTTGGTTGCCATTGGGTCTGGCCTTACCCCTGAATCTCAGGATACTTTGCACGGCCACCACTCCACCGCCGGCATCCGTGGGTGTGGTCCTTATATCGAACATCTTGCGAGTGGGCAAAATCTCAGTGCCGTCTTTGATCCATCGAATCTGCGGCGTGGGTTTTCCCTTGGCACTG